CGTATAAATTGTTTATGAAAACATAACTGCCAGAAGAACAGATGATCAAACACCGCATGTTCTCACTCATAGGCGGGTGTTGAACAATGAGAACACATGGACACAGGGAGGGGAGCACTACACACTGGGGTCAGTTGTGGGGAAATAGGGGAGGGACGGTGTGGGGTGGGGAGCTGAGGAGAGATAGCAAGGGGAGAGATGCCAGATGTAGGTGATGGGGAGGAAGGCAGCAAATCACACCGCCACGTGTGTACCTATGCAACAATCTTGCATGTTCTTCACATGTACCCCAAAACCTAAAATGCAATAAAATAAATAAATGGGAAAAATAAAATAAAATAAAATAAAAAATTCCCAGTACCCATATAGGTTGAAAAAAAATAATAAAATAAAAATAAATAAATTGTTTATGAAAACAAAAGAGATGTTGAAATGCTTTTCTATCAGCTAAAATCTGAGAGAAGATGAAAAGTTCTCTGCTAGAATTTAAAAAACCAAAAGAAAAAAATTGAGGCCACCAAGTACAAAACAAAAACACTAATAATCATAAGGCTACTGAATGGAAAAATCCAACAAAGACAAAAACAGAAAACCCCAACACAACTGGAATATCATATGACATACACAGTAAACATATCCTAACTGAAACAAACGCAGCAGCATTCTTTGTGCAACAAACCAGAAAAAAGACCAATGGCCACCAGCAGATTTGAAAACTCCTCTTACTAATCAAAAACTACTCAGCTTTATGACAATGGCTATATCTGATTTGGTGAATCAGTAACTATACTGGCTTCTTAGAGTTTTTATGTACGAAGTGAAATAGGGTTGAGAAAATCATATTACTATTTCTCCTGATATATAAAGAAACAAATTGTATCAGAAGCTGCAAAAACAGACTGACTTTGAGTTACCTGGAAGTACTAACTGGCTTTATTCTTTCTATTTCTATCTGTTAAAGGTAATTACACTGACAGAGAAAGAAGAACATGGAAAGTGGGTAGCTTGCTATATGGACAGTTTTTATTTAACACACACTTACCATAGTCTAAGCACTTTACACATACTAAACCACTTAAACCTTAATAGTAACCCTAGCAGTAAAGCACTAATTATCATCTGAATTTAAAGTGTGAGAAAAGCAAGTCACAGAAAGGCTAAGTGACTTGCCCAAGGTTCATATGGCCAAATAGGAGGGAGATCTGGGGTTGGAACCCCAGCAGTCTGATTCACACTGGAGTCTGAGATGTCTCTCCACTGTTAAATAGGATTAGGACCAAATAACATCAGAAAACAGTGAAACCCATCTTACCATGGCTTATGATACTACATTAAGTGTTTCCATGTACTTTACAGAAAAGACTAGGAAGAATATCTTTGTGTGAGGCTTATTAATTAAGATAAATTTTTTAAAGCAAGGATTGTCCGAGGCTGTGGTAGTCACATGTGGCTATTTGAATTAAATAAAACAAAAAATTCGGCTGGGCGCGGTGGCTCACGCCTGTAATCCCAGCACTTTGGGAGGCCGAGGCGGGTGGATCACGAGGTCAAGAGATCGAGACCATGCTGGTCAATGTGGTGAAACCCC